ACCTGTGTCACTGTCAGTACCTTGGGTGTGATGTTGGGCTGTAGTTTTTTGCAAGAGGTCACTGTTGGGGCGAGCCAAGTAGAGGGTGCCTGGGGTCTCTATTCTATTATTTCTCACAATGGTGTGGACTCTACAATGACCTCAAAATACGATGTTTAATTTAAAAAAGGAGAACCGTAATTAACCAGAGGCAAATGTTGACTTCTTCACTTGGTCTTTTTTTTTTTTCCTTTTCCCTCACGTCCCTTCCATCAGACCATGGAGGTAGATATCGACTTTAGCATTCACTGATGAATATGGGGCATGACCTACACACAAGGGCCTTGACGGGACGCTGCTCCTGCATCGTTAGAATACAAATATTGCTGCTGTCATGATTATTGATGGAGGAAATGCGGCTGAATGTGAACATTTGAGTGTATGCAGTGAAGACCACCTTGAAAAGAGACTGTAAATCTCTGCGGTGTGTCTTTAGGCCCGGTCTACACACGACCAAAGCCCAGCGGAGGGGTCTGCGTCCTCCAGTGAGGGTGCCGCCCTGGCCTCAGCCAGAGCGGGTGTTCGGGCAGATTGTGGCCGCCCGAGTGGCCCCGGTGATTACAGAGTTGGGGCCACACTTTACCCTCATTGAGAGACCTTCGGTCTTTGCCCCTCGCTCACTTCTCGGAAAGGGTGTTTCCACTGCTCCTTTCCCTCCCTTAGGCTCCGCTCTGTTTCAAAGCCCCCGACGGTATAGGAGGCATGCCAAGCTGTACTGTCCACCTTCAACACAGTTACGGTGAAAATGAGCCACTCTGGGAAGACCATGCCCAGAAATTAATTATCACGCAGCAAATGAAGGCTACAGCCTTTTGTTATCATGATCATGAAATCACTACCGCCTTCATACTGGATGAATCTGGCCACACCACTGTTGAAGTTTCGCTGAATAAACCGAGAAAAATATTGCAGTGTACTCTCCAAGGAGATTCACTATTTAATACACCCACTATTTTTTTGTTGAATAAGCGAGGGGAGTATGTAGAGATATACAAGCAGTGGACTTTCCTCTGCAACTAAAGATGGATGAGGGGCCCTTTTTCTTTCTTCTCTTACCTATTATTTAGCCTTCCATTGAAGTAGTAAATCTATATTTTGGAGAAGAGAACTGCTAAGACTTTAAAGAAATATGTTAATAGGCTGTCGTGACAGAGGCCCTGACACAGGCCGGATGCCTGGCTGTGGCACTTTATTTGACACGCTTCATGCGTTGGTGCTTAGTTTAGATACTGAAGCAAACTGGCCTATAAAATACTGTGCTGTAAATACAAACCTTTATGAACCTCTTGGGATCGTCCTTCTAAAACGTGAATTAAGATATTCCATGATTCAAGCCCATAAACGAAAAAGTAGCCATCACCCTGAGTAGTAATTTGCTTTCTCAAACCTTAGAATATAAATTGCCTTTGGCCTGTGCTCGCCAAATTCTGAGTCTGTGTGCACGATGGTAACTAATGAACTTTTTGGAAATACTTTTCAAAAGGAGTCCAAGCTTTTTCAGGCTATACAGGTCATCTGAAATACACCTCTTTTGCTTAGGGGTATTTTTTTTTTCTTGTTTAAAGAGCCACCGTATTTTACCGCCGAGCCCGAGCGTCGGATTTTAGTGGACGTGGAAGAAACCGTGGACATCGTCTGTCGAGCAATGGGTGAGTGTGGGGAGGCTGCTCCCCACGCAGCCGTGACGCGGAGGGGCATTTTCCAGGGCGGGATCCTCATCGTTATGGGGACACACGTTGACAGTGACGTCAATCACAGGGCCTCTGGAACGTAGCGGACCTCTGTTACTGGGCATGTGACCTTGAGGCAGGTTTTTGGCCTTGCTGAGCCTTTGCTTCCTCCCCTGCAGAGCAGAGATAGTACCTGTCACCCACAGGAGTGACAGGGAGGCCTTAACCCCATCCGTCCCGACAGAGACAGACAGTCTTGTCTTCCAGTGCTCTGATTCCACCAGTGTGCCCCCCAAGACTTGGGGCAAGAACTTCTTTCTCGTCCTTGGGGTGATTGAGGCTCACGCCTATGTGTTCTCCTTAGTAAGAGAGAAGATGGTTTTAAATTCTTTGCACAGGAAATTCTTCCTTTTTTTTTTTTTTTTTTTTTTGCCTTTCCAGTTTGGGGCTGACTTTTTCTTTGTTATTCCAGTAATTTCCCCCCTCGTCCCCATGCCTTGATTATGAGCTGTCCATAGTCTCCATTGCCTGTCAGACAGCACAAATAATTATACTAAAACCAATAACTGAGACGAGCTTTTTAAAGGCAATTTCATTAACAATAGCTATGCTAGTGCTCTGGAAACTGTCAGTGAAAAAGGACATTTTTTTAATGTTTAAACCTGTCCATCTTACGGCTGGGTATTTTATTCTAAGAGCTCGGAGAGTAAGGATTGCTCACGATTTTGTAAATCTTCAAAACAGCTTCATAAAAGAGATACTATTATCTCAGAGTACACATTTGAAAACAAGACCTTAGAAAGCGAGGGTAAGTAATGTGCTCAAGGCACAGAGCCAGGGGGATGAAATGAGCTACTTATAAAATCATGGCCCAGCATCTCGCATGCAGGAGCATCTCATTAAATACTGGACCACCTGCTGGCGGTCACGTGGCAGTGGAGGCAGGATCCAAACCCAAACCCATCAGCTACCAAAGCAAGGGCTTTGGCCAGGTCGCCTGGCTTCTCCCGAAGAGCTGAGGTCCTGGGACCCAGAGCACATGTCCACCAGTCCCCAGGTCCGGGCATGTCGTTCTTCGTTTCTGAAAAGTAGTGGTGTTCTGTGAACAGCCCTGATGGTTCCTATAGTGATCGGTGTCTGCCGTGGGCACCTCTACCCACCGTGCTTCGGCCCAGAGGGCGTTGGCTGAGGGGCTCGGTTCTCAGCCCCTGGTCAGCTCACAGCAGCCCTGCTGACCTGTCCTGCTCGCGCCCTCCTCTGGTCTGGCTCTGCCCAGGCCTCCTGGGGAGGGGCAGAGGAGAGTGATGTGAGTGACATGGAAAACTCTCCCTAGCTACGGGTTGTATTGTTCTCTTTTTATTTTTATTTTTCATTTTATTTATGTATTTTGAGAGAGAATGCACACAAGTAGGGGAGGGGCAGAGAGAGAGGGGGAGAGAGAGAGAATCCCAAGCAGGCTCCATGCTGCCATCACAGAGCCCAATGTGGGGCTCCATCCCATGAACCATGAGATCATGACCTCAGCTAAAATCAAGAGTCGGATGCTCAACTGACTGAGCGCCCCTGTTCTCTTTTTTCACATAAACCTATGTTTTTGAGGTCCACGATGGTCCGAAAGTGAAGCTATGCAGTATTTAGGGTGCTCGGATTTTAGAAGGCAGAGTCTGCAATCCTGCAGGGGATAAGATTTCCTTTTATGCCACTAAATTGCCCTAAAATAGAAAGGCACTGAGTTCCCCATATCCTAACAATTATTTTTCGATAAATGACAATCTTAAGCTCTTCCCTTGACAAGAGAATGCTTTTTTTGCATGATTTCTACAGGGTGAACTGCTTGTTACCGTACAGACTTGTAAATATGTATCGAACAGGCCTTTCAACGCTGCCATCGTATAATTTACTGCTTTCTTTTAATTTTGACAATGAAACGATAGCAGTATGCGAAGTGGTTATTCTTCATGAAAGCTACATCGTGTAATTGCTATTATGAGATTTTACATGAATTGGTTATGCTTTTACCTTGAAATGGATTTTTTTTAATTTCCTGATTTAATGAAAAGTGACAGGAAACATAATTAAGGCAAAGAACAGAATCTGAAAATACATTATCTTGAAATATTTCACAATGTTAACTTTATTTATTAAAGAAGACATCTTACACCTACATAGCATCTGAAATCAAGTGATTTTGGTGTGCTTTCACCATGAATCACTGCCGACACGTGCTTTACTTAAATTAATTTCACGCATAGAGAAACTGAGGTACGGAAGCAGCCTGAACATCTCTGCGCATTTCCCACGGGCCCACGGCAAGCATATGTGTGCCCACCACGGTTCGGGATGCCGTGGTCTGGTGCCGTGGTGGAGTTTCTGTGCACAGCCTGTCGCGTCTTCCCAGCTTACCCGTGTTGGGCGGCTTGGGAGGGCCAGGGAGCGGTGGCCACCACTGTCAGTCACCCAAGCCTCCCAGGGCAGCTTCCCAGGGAAGGAACGTGGCCTCTGCCCAGTCACGGCTTGTCCCGTGCAGCGAGGCGCCGGGGGGGGGGGGTGGTTGAAGGGGGGGGCGCAGTGTGCGCACCCTCATCGCCTGGGCTCCGTGTGCTGAGCAGAGCCACGTGGGGGGTGAGCGGCAGGGGGCTTCATGCTCTCGGCCAAGGACAGTCCCTTCGTGTACAACAGGGCTCTGCCCCTGTGAGCTTGTCCTTTGTCCTCCTTGTAGACCCTTCCCAAACCCAACGGCACCCTCCATCAGACGGACGGGCCGGCCAGATGGCGCAGAGCTCCGGTCCCTCTGACCGAGGCCTGGGTTGTCTCCGTCACATCGCCAGGGTGAGGAAGGGACGCTCAGCCTCAGACTGACCCTCCCGTTCCCCCAGTCAGTGTTGGCCCCGCCCAGGCTGCCATTAGCTCCCAGGGGCAAGGATGGTGCCATCCCGGCCCCTTCTTGCCACCTGCTGGACTCACATGCATCTCAGGGGCCAAGCGACTTCTCCCCTGTGCGCGGTCGAACACCAGTTGCACCTGAGGCGCCGGGCACTGACCTTAGCCATCGCCCCTCCGCCACGGCAGGCCTCCGCTTCCATCAGGGTGACGCCCAGCTCCCTAGGCGGGGGAGGGGTGAAGACACGGGGCACGTTTTTGGCTGTTGGCTGTAGTAATAGTCATTCTAGCCCCTGTGCACCCACCACCTGCCGGGCACGAAGAGATGCGTGTGTACTGACGCCATCCGTCTTCGCAGCAACATTCGGAGTTTGCAAGGGCCGCCTCCTTCCCAAGTGCGTCTCCGGCCCCCGTGACCCTACCCCCAGCCTCGAGGGGCAGCGTCAGCCCTACGGAGCGACAGGGGCCTTTCCCCCCATCCCTTTCCGTCCGGAGGGCGGTCACAGCTGGGATCCCTTTCCCTCCCGACCAGAGCACAAACCTGCACAGGCTCCGGGAGTCCAGAACCATCTGCAGCCCAGCATCAGGAGTTCATTCCCACTCCTTGTGGTGCCCCTCTGTGTCCGCGTCTTCACAGAGATGAGAAAAATAACACCATACGAGTTGGACGGAGGGGCTAAGAGATGAAAAAATGCCTACCAGCCTATCGCCGTGCAGCCTTTGAGACATTTTTGCCTCAGTCCCCGTGTATAGTGCTTGGAATTTAATTTTTTCGAATGCCTACTTCTTTCTACTCCTACACAGGGGTCCCTCTGCCCACTCTCCAGTGGTACAAGGATGCCGTCTCCATCGGCAAGCTCCACAATCCTCGATACAAGATGCTTGCGAGCGGAGGCCTGCGCATCCAGCATCTGCGTCCAGAGGACTCCGGAATCTTCCAGTGCTTTGCCAGTAACGAAGGAGGGGAGATCCAGACCTACACGTACCTGGACGTCACCAGTGAGTACTGCCCGTCGGGAAAGACAGGCCATCCGGGCTGGGCCCTCGGGCCAGGGCTTCCCAACTTTTGGCTGAGTAGCATCTGCTCAGGTCAGCGGGCAGGGCGCAGTGGCCACGGCAGGGGCCCCGTCTCAGGCGGAGAGCAGCCCATGTGCTAAGCCCCTCGGCAGCCCCAGCAGGTACACCCTGCCCCCACGTCCTGGTGCCCAACCTGCTCTTACACAAACCTTGATTTTTCGGCGCTCAAGCCATCTTCTCCGCTGAGAAGTAGAAAAGAAAAATCTGCATTTTTCTGGACAGAACTGGAAGAACTATTCAGTGAATAGCTCTTTCCTAATCTTTTTCTTTTGATCTCTTTCCCATTTTTTATATCCATTTTCTATTTTAGTTTTATTGAACAATTATAGTTCTTCTGTAAGTTTCTTTTATTATCCCATTAACAGAAATACTTTGGCACTCTGTCTTTGAAAAATCAAATAAAGGTAAAGGCTTTCACTGTATCTGTGGGTTTTCTTTTTCATCTCCACAGCTGTAATATTGTTCTTCTAAAATGAAGTGGAATTTAGTGATGATGGGATTATACCTTTCATGTTTGCCCTTTTGGAGGCAAAATGCTGATATTCTCAGGTGTGAGAGCCATTTGAGAAAGCAAATCGTGTCAGTATGCAGATGGCTCCTGTCTGCCAGAACGAATGAATTTAAGGAATCGTGTGTCTGTTTTGGTACGGTAGGGACCACTTCCTTGAATCTTGCCCAGGGGTCAAGTTTATCCTCTGGTTTGGACGACTGTAACAGTGGAAATAACAGTGGGTACTTAAGCCAGAAGCTGAGTTTTGATCAGTTAGGATTATTTAAAGCACATCTTAAAAAGCGCCAGCCAGGAGCTTGTGGGGCTTTTCTTTTTCTTTTTTTTAACCTGCATTTTAATTTCACTGTAGTTAACATACAGTGTTGTGTCAGTTTCGGGTATACGGTACATCGACTCTACGATTCTGTACCATCCTCCGTGCTCATCACGATGAGTGTGCTCTTCATCCGTCACCTGTTTCCCCCATCCCCCGCCCCCCTCCCCTCCGGCAACCACCAGTTTGTTCTCTGTCCTTAAGAGTCTGTTTTGAATCGGTGTTTTCGTATTCTTGGGGTAAATACCCAGGAGCAGAATGACTGGATCATAGGGTAGCTCTCTTTTTAACTTTTTGAGGAACCTCCACACTGTTTCCCACAGTGGCTGCACCATTTGCATTCCCACCAGCAGTGCAAGAAGGTTCCTTTTTCTCCACATCCTTGCCAGCACTTGTTTCTTGTGTTGTTGATTTTAGCCGTTGTGACAGGTGGGAGGTGATGCCTCGTTGTAGTTTTGTTTTGCATTTCCCCGATGATCGGTGACGTTGAGCATCTTTTCATGTGTCTGTTGGCCATCTGGATGTCTTTGGAGAAATGTCTGTTCATGTCTTCTGCCCGTGTTTTTAATTGGATTATTTGTTTAATTTAATTTAATTGGATTATCTGGTTTTTTGGTGTTGAGGTGTAGAAGTTTGTTATATATTTTGGATGCTAACCAAAATATCAGTTATGTCATTTGCAAATATCTTCTCCCATCCAGTAGGTTGTCTTTTGGTTCTGTTGATTGGAGCAAACTTTTTCTGTAAAAAGCCAGGTAGTATTTTCAGCTCGGAGGGACGTGGTCTCTGTCACAGCCACTGGCTTCTGCTGTAGTGGCGTAGGAGCGGCACAGACAGTACTGAGCAAATGGACCTGGCTGTGTTTCAATAAAACTTTATTTATAGAAGCAGGCAACAGGCTGTCGTTGCCTACCTTTCTCTAGTGAGACGCTTGGGACACATTCCTTAATTCTCAGCCTCAGTTTTATCACCAAAAGTGAACCATCTCAGCCCAGTTCACAAGCTTCCTCCAAGGATCAGATGGGAAATTTAGATGAAAAGTGCTACCAAACTGGTTACCATGGCAGCTGGAGATTGAACAACAAATACATGATAATGATACTGCTACATTCTCTGTTTTGTAAGTACACGGTTTTGCAGAATAGGCTTTTATTCCCAAATTAAAACCCTTTTAGTGAAGAGAAAATATAGTAGGTAAAGCAATCAATATTTATTCGTTCATTTCACAAACATTTAATTTAGCATCTCTGTCAGGCACTTGGGTCTGTCAGGCTCGGGGATAGAGCTCTGAGGAAGACACGCGAGGTTCTCACCCTTCCAGGGCAGAGGTCATGAAGTGGGGAGACACGCAGGAGAGGAGGAGCTCGTCTAGCCAGGGATGAGGGCCATGAGAGGAGACAACAGGCCAGGCCCATGGTGACCCGGGAGCTGCCTCTGAGGGCGCCCAGGGATCATTCCCTGAGACGGTGCGGGAGCTGAGGTCCAAAGGTGCAAAATCTTGGGGGATGTGCGCGTCATGGTGTGAGGGAGGGGACGCTGCAAGTGCCTTCGAGGAACAAGCTTGGAGATACAGGAGCCAGGGGTCATGGTAGGAGGTAGGCTGGAGGGGTCAAGGGCCAAGGCCCAGCGGGAGGCTTTCCAGGGCCTCCGGCGGGGAGTGGTGGGGTATCCTTCCTAGGTCCCAAAGGGCACCCAAGGCTGGGTGTAGAGCGGCCAGCGCAGGGAGGAGCGGAAGGCTTGGGCCCAGGTAGGAGGCCGCTGCACTGTCCAGGTGGTGGCCCCACAGGTGCAAGGAAGCAGAGGGCTCTAGGCTACGCTTTGGGGATGGCACCCATGGCACCTATGAGGTTCGTAGGGACTCCCGCCTGGGGGAAGGCGGGCCGGCAGCAGCATCCGCTTCTCCTGGGAACCCCAGCCCAGGCTCCTGTGGGGCCCTCCCGGGGTTTGGGACACACAGATCCCTGCTCTTCGGCGATTTCCAGTTTAATCATTCTCCAAGTGGTACACAGTCAGGTGAGCCCTCGCTGAAGCCGGCCTGAGCCGCCGTGGCTCTCTCGGTCCGATTCCGGGCTCCTGAGAACTGGAGACCCGTGCCGACCCCCCAGGACAAGAAGGCCCCCCCAGCAGTTGGGCCCACAACACTTCCTGGAAATCCTTTACCGAAGGGCTTCAAATCTGATTATTTCGTGAAAGTGTCATCTTGTGGTTAATATTTAACAGTCAAAAATTAGCTTTTTCTATTTTTTAAAGAGTAACGAAGTCAAGCTTGTTAGATTTATCTAAATAAATGTCTTTCGTCTCATTACCGTTCTTCTGAAACAGCCCTTCCTGGGCCCCGGCACTTTGCCACCACGTGTCCGTTACATCACGGACTGGGTTTCTCTCTGGGTTGTAAACACAGATCGGCAGCTCCTGAGGGACAAGTAACTGAAGGTTATAGTCACTGCTGAAAGGTTTTCATCTTTTGTCGCTGCAGTTCTGTGTGATTAGTCCTATAAAAGTCCATATGGGCCACCCCCAGCAGGCGGGTCTGGGCTCGTCCGGGGGGCACACCCTGAGAATGTCACTGTTCGCTCCCGCTTAGATGTCGCCCCGGCGTTCACACAGCTGCCAGTGGACACCACGGTCACCGACGGGATGACGGCCACTCTGAGGTGCGAGGTGTCCGGGGCGCCTAAGCCCGCCATCACGTGGAGGAGAGGTGGGTAGCCTGCGCGGCCCCCACAGCCTGGCCACCGTGGGAAAGGAGCCCCTGGGCCAAGGCTCATGTTCTCAGCCCCCTACCCCCACCGCCTGCCTTCAGTCAGTAAGGATGAGCAGCCGTCTGTCGAGCACCTGCTGGGTGCGGGAGCCGGCTGAGTAAGAAGGACAGTGCCCTGTAAGCTTCACAGAGCTTACGTCTCCGAGAGCAGACAGACTTTTTTCAAAATGTGTGAATATCGCTGTGTTCTGCCTAAGCCCTTCATAGGCCACCTTAGGCGTGTGAGGGGCTGCCTGAAACATAGGTGCTGGATCTGGAGAAGTGCTTCCAGGACTCCGTTTCTCCATTTATGAAGTGAAGGCAATATTCGAAATGAAGAATAATACCCTTGTTTCTTTAAGAAAGAAAGGTGCCTAGGATGCACACCTGAAACTAACAGGATATGGACGTCATTTGTACCTGGTTTTACAAAAGGCAGAGAGGGACGCCTCAGTGGTTCAGTCACTTAAGCATCTCACTCTTGATTTCGGCCCAAGTCATGATCTCACCATTTGCGGGATCGAGCCCCATGTTGGGCTCTGCGCTGACAGCATGGAGTCTGCTTGGGATTCTCTCTCCCTCTCTCTCTCTCTCCTCCTCCCCTGTGCATTCTCTCTCTCTCTCAAAATAAACACAAACATTAAAAAAAAAGCAGAGAAACCAAAGACTGGATTCTGCCAAGGCTCAAAGTCTGAAGCATTCATGGACAACAAGACTCAGAAGGACCTTCCAAGATCCCTTCCCTGTGTGTAACTTAGCAGAGTGACGTCAAAGGCAGAGAGCTTTACCAAAATAGAAAAGCGGAGACAGGGAAAGATGGTTCTAGCACAGGCTCATCTGACACGTAACCCTCTCCATTCTACCTGTTTTCCGTCCCCATGAGGAGGGGCATCACGTCATGGGCTTTCTCTGTGGTTCCCAGGCCCTTCCACACAAAGGCACACATGTCCCTCAGTGAACAGCACACACGATCCATTCTTAACAAATATATGCTGAACTGTGCGGGTTCACACAAATGAGCTGGTCACGCTCGGAGCGCCCTCCTCTGGGTGAACCACGTAGAGGCTTCTCACCTCTCCCAGCATGTGACTCCTGCACCCAGACGAGAGCGGTTAAACATGCAGGTCAGTAAGCAAGAGGGGGTTCTTCTCTTTTATGTATACATTTTTTCTCCCAATTTAGAATGTATGATAGCTTTGTATAGAAAATCTGCAGATGTATACAGGTATCAAGAAAAGTCAGAGTCAGTCACCAAAGATAACAGTCGCATACATACATGGACGTAACTGGTTTAACCCATTTTCTCAGTATTGCACAATTAAGATTTTCTTGGTCTCCATCATCCTAAATAATGCGAAAGGAAACTGCTTTGGTTATTTTTGCACATACGGTTTCCACCTTATTATGATTATTTCAAGTTATTTTCTTGGTTTTGGTGCTGACATTCCTGTTTCTCTACTTTTCTTCAGGAAAACATATTTTGGCCAGTGGCTCTGTGCGCATTCCTAGGTTTATGCTTCTGGAATCCGGGGGTCTGCAGATAACCCCCGTCTTCATCCAGGATGCTGGCAACTACACCTGCTATGCCACCAACACGGAGGGGTCCCTGAGCGCGTCTGCAGCACTGACTGTGTGGAGTAAGGACCACAGGCCACGTGGAACCTTCTGTTCATCATGGCTTAATCATCATGTCAGCTGTGCTTAGGGGATGTCAATACGCCCTTGGACTCTCTAATCAAAAGATAATGATTATTTTTACAACTAATTTATAGAAATCTGTTGAGTAATTAATTTTTCAGTTTCTAAAAGAATAATTAGAAAATGTATTCAAAGATTTAATGGGACATTTCAGGAGAGATTAAAGATTGACTTTTTAAAGTCAATGGAGTAGGAAATATTATCCCAAACTAGCCCAAACAACAAAACTGATAGGTTGGTTAATTTTATAAGCATTGTGTAAGAATTAACAGTTAAGAGTCAAGAGATAACATTTTATAGAAAGTATGTTTTTTCTGTAGTATCATTTTAACCAACTAAAACACTCTTAGTATATTAAACGTGAGTGTTTTTTATATCTTAGGAGTGAATTGAAAATTTTTGATTTCTCCAGCTTTTTGTCTTTATCTGTAACACAGGTTTCTGAACTGGAGAATGATTTGTTTTCCAGACATAAGGATTCATTACCAAGTATCTCTGCCCCACCTTTAACTTCACTTGCCGGTGTACTTTTTCATCTCTGCTTCATCCATAATCTATAGGACTAAAAAAAAAAAAAAATCGTTGTTCAAAAAAGCAAAAGATAGTGCTCACTGATCTTTGTAAAGCTTATCTCTATGAAGAGAGAAAAATTTAACTGGCATCAGTGACTCATTTGTCCAAACACCGTCCTTAAAGAGAACCTGAACTATCGTGCTTTATTTCATGTCCATTTGGTTCTCTCTGGTACAGTTTGTGTCCACTTTGAGAAATGACCCCTTCTAATTTATTTAGGTGTTATAAAAACACCAGGACTTTTAAAGAGGCACAAATTCGAATTCCCCCAATATTCTCCGGTACCAAAAAAGGGGTCTTGTCCCATCTCGTGGCCCACTCCGTTGACCATTTCTGATTTGTCTTGTGTCCCTAACATGTGAACCTGACATTTAACAGCTTGTGAAGAACTGTGTCTGTGTCTCTGTAGGTCACCCTCCAGAAAGTTCTGTAGATCTGCTAAGATTCAAAACCTCGCAACACTAGAGTGATGAGTGTGCTCTCGGGGGGCCTGCAGAGCACATCCCACCCTTTACCTACTCTGTTGTGTGCCGTTGCGGGGGATTCCGCCCTCCCCCTTCCGCAGACACCCAGTTTAAAGCTCAGGTCTTTTCCGGGACACCGCGCTCAACGCGGTCAGGCTGGGCCCCGACCTAGTCTTAGGACTCCCATGTTCTGGGCTCTGTTCCTTGGGGCCAGAGCAGGGTCCACCTCACAGGTGCACGGTGGGGGGGTTCACCGGCCACAGGGCTGTCGCCGGGCCTTTCTCGGCGAGCCACTGCACTTCTGAGCGCCACTCTCTAGTCCTGGAAGCTGGGAGTGGTGCTGTCACAGACCCCACGAGGTTGTGTGAGCATTAAATAGAACAATACAAATGGAAGCACTTTGCAAAGTCATGACGTGCTGTGCAGACAGCAGAAATGACCAGAATGTTAATAATCTTGGGAAAGAACCACGGTTTTAACCTAAGACCGCAGAACCTAATGAATATTTGCATACGGTCTGCATTCTCGTTGTCCTCAGGAGGGTTGAGAGGCTGGGGAGCGGCCCCAGAGGGGAGGGGAGGCCTGACTGCCCTGGCCACGCCGTGGAAAGCTTGCTTCCAATTCCCTGAGTGCTTTCATTTACGTTCGTTTTGCCAAGATCAGAGAAAACTTGGAGGCTTTTATGTTAGGTGACCAATTCATTCCCCCCTGAGGGAGGAAAGTCTCAAGCATGTAATTCTGTCTGAGTTGTGACTTGTGTTTTCCCAGATCGTACGTCCATCGTTAACCCTCCCGAGGACCGCGTGGTGATTAAGGGGACCACGGCCACTCTGCACTGCGGAGCCACTCATGACCCCCGGATCACTCTCCGGTCAGTTCAGTCACTCACAGCGTTTGGGGCTCATTCATGTTCTGGGAGCTTAGGAGATGAAGTTGAGATGGGAGAATTTGGGCAACTTTGATTTCAGCCGCAGATCCCTGATTACGGCATCACACGGTCTTGGGCTCCATCATTAATCACACAAATCCCATTTTCCACTCCAGCCTTATGTATTATTTACAGTGAGCTATGTTCCACTCCGTGGCTTCAGTACAGCTTTTCATGATTTTCCTGCCAAGGTTAATACACTATCTGTAAAACGTACTTGTCAGGGGCTGATACTTAATGAGAGAAAAATCCGGACAGATCGAATAGGATTTCAGCAGCGTTTATGCTGGGCTGTGTAAGACTTGAGAGGGGTTCCCTCTGCTCTAGGGTGGTTTCATGGTGAGATGGAGAGTAAGGCAGACCTGTACCCAGAGGAAAGGCGGCCACGGTCACCTCGTGCATGTAGAGGAAAATGCACGTAAACACGGGGACTAGATGCCTTGAAGCCTCACTGAAGGGATTGTAATATCCCGTCTTTGTCCGAGTTCAGGCAGGAGGGTAATGATGCAAACTGTGCCCCTCTGGGGAAATGCAGGGCAGCAGACACAGGTGACTGGGTGGTGAGCTTCTTCCCAAAGAGCTGCCACCTTCAGAATAGTTTTTAATTTTCAGAACCAGCCCTGAAAATAAATCTAGAGAGAATGATATGGTCATCCTAGAATTTTCAGTCTGGCCTTAGCCCAGCCAGAAGGCACACATTTAGCCAAATGGATAGACTCAAGATGCCTTCCTTCCTTCTTGAACACCTCACTGTGAGCAGAGGGAGGGGCCTGCTGCCACATACATGTTTTTTTTAATGTTTATTTTTGAGAGAGACAGAGCATGAGCAGGGAAGGGGCAGAGAGAGAGGGAGACACAGAATGGCAAGTAGGCTCTAGGCTCTGAGCCATCAGCACAGAGCTTGATGCGGGGCTCGAACCCACAAACTGTGAGATCATAACCTGAGCCAAAGTCAGACGCTTAATGGACTGAGCCACCCAGGCGCCCCTGCCGCGTACATTATTAACTGGATTCAGAGACTGAGCTGTTTGCTTACTCTTCTTGAGCAGACGTTTGGCAGATCGTGAGTTTCTGTGCTTTCACCTGGCTCTCTCGAGTTCCCGAGAGCTCAAAAACCAAGTTTGGTTTAGTTGCAAGAATGTCAAAAGGAAAACCCACCAACAAAAACTAACAGGCCAAAGATTACCGAGAGAGTCCATGGAGGCCGTCTTAAAGATGTTGCCTGGAAAAGAGCACATTCATTTCTAAATGGTTTGGGGGTAGGATTCCAGAGGAGGGACAAGGACAAGCTGGTTTTCTGCAAGAGCTCCCCCGGAATCCCTCTGGACCTTTGCGTTTTTCTTGTAGCTTTTTATGTGTGAGTAAACAGAACCGGAGCCTCCTTCCGGAGGGGTTTTAGATGGCTCACTCTTGGGGCACTGCTCGTCCCAGGGTTCCTCTGCCCTGAGAGCACCGCCCCTAAGGGATGATCTCAGCTGAACGTCATACCCCAGAGCGAACGATTTATTCATTTCCTTCTTGGGGGACTACGTCTGTTCTGTCTCAGGGTAACTTCAGATAAGCAGTTTATTAATGTCTATGCTCTGTGCATATTAAACCTTTAAAGAGCCGGGTACATTTTGCAAACCCGAGCACATTATTTTGGAAAGGAAAGCCAGTTATGTCCCGCTGTCCAGCAGTAAGTGGTGACCCCTGACCACTGATACCAAAGGCCGGCCAGGCTCTTAATTGATTCTACATTTGAAAAGAAAAATGTGCTAAAATTGTCATAACTAAAGAATTAAATGAGAAAGAGGTGCAGTTTTAAGAAAACAAGTTTATGGGGTGTGATCTTTTTCCAGAAGTTGGGTAATTCCACTCTGAGGAGTTCTGGGACGGTCATTGCCCCCTATCCAGGCAGCACCCCTGTCCTCCAGGAACATTCCTGGGCAAAGTGCGAGGTACAGTGTTAGTAAGTGACATGTGTGATCATGACACTGTACAGACTTCCCGTCTCGAAACCCAAAGGCCAGTTCGGTGTTCTCAGTGATCTTCACAGACCCATTTTTAACTTCAGCATCTGTTTTTGTCTTGTGGCCAAGATATTTGGTTGCTTTTCTTTATTCTTTCTTTTAGATATATTCACATGTCATGAAATTCACCCATCTAAAGAGCACACAGTTCAGTGGCTTCTGGTTCATTCACAAGGCCGTCGGTCGCTCACGGCCCAGATCCTAACCCTCTGGCTTGATCCTAACTGGAGAGCTTTCCTAACTCACGACTCCCTGCTTGGCCCACAGCTACGTGTGGAAGAAGGACAATGCAATCATCACCCCATCTGGCAGTTCCAGGATCATGGTGGAGAAGGACGGGTCCCTTGTCATTAGCCAGACGTGGTCGGGTGACATCGGAGACTACACCTGTGAAATCCTCTCGGAAGGGGGGAATGACTCCAGGACGGCCCGGCTGGAGGTGATGTGAGTGTTGCCGCCGTGGAGCGTTAACCACCTCCTGATTGCTTGCAGCGCTATGGTCAGCCATCCCGAGTCCAAGTGGCTATTTTTAGCGCGTGTGATGCCACTTGGGTCCCCAAGCCAGCCGTCAGAGGCCATGGCCTCATGCCTCACAGGCATACAGGCTTACTTACGGGTTTTGTTGGAACCTGGAAATGAAAACATTCCACTCTTGGTTCAGATGGTTTGCTACTTGGTTTTCACCCTCCTATTATTACCTTATCTCCCCCGTTGGCACCATGTCACCCATTTACCGCAGCGCCCATAAGCAACAGCCCACTTTGCCACGTGATGCCCACAGAACTCGGTGAGGAATGTCAGGCCAGCCCACCGAGGCCAGACCGTTCGGTGACAGCCAGGTACGTGGCGCACAGAGGTCAGCACCACCTGCCTCTCTGTGGGTAAACAGCTGCTTTCCGTGAAGTCTTTGGAAATCCTGGAAATGGCAAGCAGCTGATCGAGACCTCCTGGGGGTCCCGAGGGCCCAGGAGGGAAACCACTGCCTTCCTCCGTCTCTGGACCTCTTTATGCAGCTCCTCTCTGTTCCCCAGCAGGGGCTAAAGAGCCTGCTGACAAATTTCCTTTTTCTAATATGTAGTTATTTGTTCTTTAAGAATGGTGCCTCCCAGACAGTCCCTGAGCACAACCATACCAAAGTAAGATCTGCAAACAAAGCAGCAGGGCAGGGGCTCCAGGGGCGCAAGCCAGCAGCCCTGGCTAACGTGGGCCGTGCGAGGCCGTTAGAAAAGGCCGTTTCAGAGGTTTTTCTTACTGGTGTCTGCCCACCTCAGTCCAGGAAGGAGTCTATAGACAGAAGCCACTCCCTGAACGTACAACATGAACAGTCTGCATACAGAGCCAAGCCTCCAGCCGAGGGGGTTCACGGGAGAAGGATACTTGCTAAGGGCTCAGCACATGGGCTCCTGGGTGTGTTGCACACACGTGTGAACACATGAACAGATGGTAGCCTGGCCTAGCTCTGTTTCTGGGATTCCACGGGTTAATGGTGTTTAGCAGCTGGTCCAGAAGAGCCTTGAATTGTGCCTCCAGTACCCGGAAAGGCCTGTTCTCCTGCCTAGTTGGCATCTGCAGGGCGACTCCTTGTTCTCGTTCGTACGGTCGGTCACCTGCTGGGAGTGAAGGTCATCCCGGTTAGTCACCAGACAACAGGTGCCCCCAGCCCCCGGGTGGGCGGGATGTCTGCGGGGGTCAGGTGCTGTGGCCCTGCAGCTTTGTGAGTGTGCGTGAAGTGCCAGGTGTTCCCGCCCCACCCTTAGCCGCTGGACCTGCCAGCCCTGGGCCCTTTCTGCCCTCCTGGGCTCACCTGGTCCTCCGCCCAGGGCCTCGGGCTGCTGCGGCCGTGTTTTCTGCCATCGCCGTCTGAAGGGCCCCTGCCTCTTTTAGGGCTCAGCCACAGGGTCACCCCTGCGTGGGGACCCCAGGGTGCCTCATGGCTTCCCAGCATTTGCTTGGACTTCCTGTCATAGCACTGATCGCATGGGCTGCAAGTGCCCGTGTTCACTGGGCCTGTGCACCGGAAGAGTCTGTTTTCACGATGCTTTCACTGCTGAAGCAAAAATACCCGGATGGCAGGCCTTGCATTTTGAGTGGCTCACGATGCTTTGGGACACGACAGGGGCTCCGACGTCCGTGTCGGGTGGTTCACACATGCATGAACGAATAAATGTGTGTAGGTTACCAGCCACCGGCGGGGCTCCTCCCGATTGGGCCCTCCCTCCGATGCTCACATGCCCGGGGCTTCTCCCTCCGAGCACACAGGCTCATGTTCCCCTGCGGGGAGCCAGCCCAGCGCCCAAACCCCCTGTCGGATCTGGGCCTGTGTCCTTCCTCCTTCCATCATGTTGGGAATTGTTTTTTTTTTTTTTTTTTAATTTTGACAATATTGGGAGTACACATCCAGCACATTCACACGATCCACTGTGCTATTCATATTTTTAAAGCTACCTATGAGAACTCTTAGATCATCTGTCATTGGTAACAAATAAATGAGTGTTAGCATTTCATAAGGACTCTGTCAGCAGAAGCCAAAATTGCATGCTTCCAATGCAGGGCATGCTTTTTATTCTGCACTACCTCTATGGTCTACTGATTTACATATCTTCCCTTCTATTTGCTTATTTGATTTCCTCTGAGTAAAATACATTTTTCAGCAAATGTTGCCATATCTATAAAATAATAGGCTTTCTGTAATGGTAAGACACCTCATCTCTAAATATAGAAATATTTGCAGATTTGTGATTCAAACCAATTGAGGTACAGCGGGTTACAGAACTGATTTGGAAGACAGCGGTTCCTTATGAATTGTGAGTGTAATAAACACTCCACTCTTGCAAATCTGAATGAATTGAGGAAGTTGTAGGTTATAGCCTGGTCTGTCTTTAGATCCAGATAGGTCTTAACTGTACGACATCAGTAATGACAATAGTAATGATAATAGTCGTAACTCACGATCGAGGGGCATTTTGTGCTTCTCGGAGAACTTTCAAATCAAGCTCGGTAACATTTCTGTGATTTACTCTGATGACAAAAAAAAAAAAAAGAAGAAGAGGAAAGAAAAAAAAAACCTCATACTGCAGAAGTGACTGAGAGGTACTTACAGCTAAATAGTGTCCTTCAAAAGAGGCTGAAAGCCTGCTTCCCCTGCCTCCCCACTTGAGTTAAAAGCTACTTAGTTAAATATAGAAATTAGCAGCATCAGAAGTGGGCTTTTCAGAAGCAGACCATCCGTCGGTTTGCTCTCAGTGTGTGTGTGTTGCGTGTTCTAGCTCCATCCTCTGTGCCAGCCTGGTTGGACTCCTGGCCCGTCACGCCCAGGACGGTGCCGGAGAAGTCGCGGTCCTGGCAGGGCTACAGGTACCTTTTGAGGTGCCCTCCACCAGCCAGGCCGGACTGCACCCCCTTCTCCAGCTCTTCCTGACTTGGGGCAGCTTAGCCCACTTCTCAGCCTTGGTTTTCTCAACTGCAAGATGGGCACGTTACCATTACCTTAGAAGGCCACTGTGAGGTTTGAACGAACCAATGTTTATACCACCCTGGCCTGGAACCCAGCTCACCCAGTCATGGCTCCTGTTCCTTGCTCACTGTCCCACGAGAAGCACCATCGCTCCTTCACCAAAGCATCCTCCCACACCCGGGCTCAGGAAGCTTCTCTTCTATCCTGCTTTATTTTTGACCATGTTCCGTGACCCTCGGACACACTAGGTATGTCTGTTTGCCGTTGAGCTCTCGATGCCTGGAATGGTGCCCGGTACATAAATGTCCAGTAAATGTCAGAGTGAGCTTCACTCCCCCACCCCCCCACGAGGCTGAACTGGGCTTGCGTAATGGGGATCACAGAGGAGGAGTAATTTCTGAGGGGTCTGCCTTCATCGCCTCCCCGAGAGGAGAGGCTCCCACAAATCCACGTGGTCCCGGGTTGTGCCCTATAAATTAACCGTCCACAGGGCATCAAGAAACGGCCAGTCCCCGACTGGTCGGTTGGGCGTGCCTCTCCTGCTAGTTAGCTAGTTCCTCTCAGGAAGGAGCTGGTTTGGGACGCCCCACATCCCAGAGCACCTTGCTGCATTGAACACACCAGGGGAACTAGGCTCCTAGGGCTTTATGGATTGAGTGATTATTAATCATTTAAAGACCCAATTAGCTTTGCATCTTTCCTTCTGAGATCAGAGACTAATTCTTAGGAGTCTGGAGTACAGAGAAAACTTAATTTATGGAGCCGACTGCAAGGCTTGGACCCTGAGGCAGGGAAGAGATTTCTCTCAGTAAAGCCAACCCTCACAAACCCATCATAAGGAGTGAACAATTTAACACCATTTCTCGAGAATTGCCAGGCCCCCCCGTCATCTTCACCCTCAGAGTGAAGTCGGAGAAGCTGGGTTTGACCAGGTCATCATTTGTGCGTTAAAGGGGCCGTGCTTCCATATAGAAAAATACTTACCTGAGCCTCTGTTGCACAGCAGGCCGGCTACAGCCACAATTTTGCCAATTGCTTTCGGTCGTTTTCGAAGCTGTTTTCCCCAAACACACCTGGCTTAATCCCCTTTCCCTATGGTCCCCGTGTCTCGTTGTTAGTGTCTGGTAGTCTTGTGGTGTAATTGGCTTGACAGGGGATCCCCCCCACCCCCAAGTTCTCTTTAAATCACAAAGTGACTCGGCACCGGCCTCATTTCTATTGTTCGCAGATTTCTTTCATTTGTCACCCTGTCTGCAGATCCCTGTCTGTGAGTTGCTCTGCTGATCATTTATCTCCTTTCAAAGTTGGCAGAGAAACGCCAAGACATAGTCTATTTCTATTAGATCAGATTCTCTGAAATGGACTCAGAATATATTAAAGCCTCATTTATCGGTTATTGATGGTCAGGCAAGTATTGCGCAAAGCTTAATTTTCCCGATAACCAAAACTCACCATTTAAAGAAACAGTTTACGTCTTCAATGTATATTATAAAGTTCTTTGCATTGGGAAACAGGTAACATTGAACACAAGAGGTATCACAGAGGGGATTTTCCTATAGGACAGAGGCTGGAACTAGGAAAGGTCTAAATTTCCTTCTGACTCTGAGCTCTGCAGTGTGTAAAACATCACATTGAGCATTGGGCCACCATCTTGGATGTGACCATGAGCCCATGGAGAGGACTGTGGGGCAGCGGTGGACGAGGGCTCATTATTTCTTGATGATGAGTCACATCATGTCTTTGGGCACCGCTGGGCTTTAGGTCCCTGTTCCTACACTAAATGTCCCAAAGCTACATTGCCTTTACATTTCCAAGGTCTTCTCAATGTCGCCTCCGTCTCAGGCACCTGGCTGCCATTTTGCTGTTCAGGGTGCCTACTTCTAGCAGACCTTAGGGCCTTCTTGTAGGTGGCTTTTGGTCAGCTGGGAAGAGGGAAATCACAAACCCCTCTTAGGAGAATCACATGCCGAGTGAGAATCAGCAAGCTCTGAGGGGCAGACAGAGGGACTGTGGTGAGAACCCTCCACAGAGAAGTTCTCAAGTAGTGTCCCCTCGCACAGGAAGTGGCTGTGAATAGTAGTCAAGCCTCCACCCCCCCAGAACAGAAGCTATCTGGTCACCGGTCAGATCGGTCCTCTCTTGGCCCTCCTTTTGGGCTAAGAGAAGCATGATCTGACATCGAGTGCGAGAAGCCCCATATTTTCCCAGCTGTGGGAAAGCTGTACTTTCAGAATTCAGGATTCGATCTTGCACAGCCACTTTAGGCCCCTAGACGAGGTGTGTGGGGACACAGGAGTTTCTCAGGGGCCACAGGCTGAACGAGAGCAGACTGTCTCTTCACAGCCTCGGGTCCACAATGGCCAGTCTTGTCCCCAGCCTGCCGTGTGCCCCCACCTCTCGCTCCCCGGATCTCCTCTTGGAGTCCGGATGTATATGTCGGCCGTGGATGCTGGCTCCTTAACCTCTAGCCCAGCTTTTGTCTCCCGGTCTGTCCCCTCTCCTGACTGCCTCCTGTGTCTCTCAGACACTTTCCAGTGAGTCGCCCTCGGGGTCCCAGTTGTAGCCCTGGAGAGTCAACGTCACACAGATAGCCCAGAAATTTTGAATACGGGTGTCTCTTACTTGCCTTCTTCCATGACTCAGTGCAAACCCCGTGTTCCCGCTGCTGCTCCAAACCTCCCCCTAGTCTTACCTGCACCTTCAGCAGCCCCTTCTCCTTCCTGTCCTCCGTGCCCAAGGGAGCCTTCCCTCCTCCTCCGCTCACCCACACCCTTCCCAGCCATGCGACCCCCACTTCTTCCACAGACGGCCCTTCCTGCAGCTCCGCCCTGCAGCCCGCCCACCGTTATTTCCAGAACCATCCCACGGCTCCTGACCTGCGATGCCTTGCCTCGTCTCAGCCTGTATACGGGCCTCGTGCTCCCCCTCAGCGTTTCAGCTCTCGAGAGCAGGACTGTGACAGCCTCTCCCTCCGTGTCCCTACACTCCACATATGGCCCCCGGCTTGGGGAGTGTTCGTTTGTTAACCCATCCACTCCCGTATCGGTTGGTCCGTCCGTCCGCCCCACATTTTACTGCGTGCCCACTCTATGCCAGCGTTGGCGATGCCAAGATCAAGGAAAAAAGGCAGAGAAGGGAGAAGAGAAATGTTCCTTCCCTGGAGAAGGGAGGCAGATCCATAATCAAGCAGGATGCAGTAGGGTTCCTGCTCCCGTAGGGCTTCAAGATGTTTCCTGAACTGAAAAATCTGTAGATTGCAGTGAGATAGAAGTGGTTGGTTCTGCTCAAGAATTACTCGTGGGTGAGAGGGAAGCCGAGCCTCGGAGGCTGAGATGGATTTTCTGATTGGCGCGACTCTCCCATCGATGGGACGTCCCGTGTGAGTGCACACAGGTCACGGGGTGGCTGGACTCGGGGAGCCACAAGGCCTTCACTGTGGCTGGAAGCGTGATGCTCAGGAGAGCAGCCAGTGTGGGCTAGAGGCTGAGCTGTGTAGCAGGGAGTCGTCGCGGGCGCAGGGGGGAGCACATGGCAGGACCCCGTACAGCGGCAGCAGGCAGGACGGGCGGGAGGACCGTGTGGCGTGGCCCTTGGGACAGCGTGTGTCGGGTGGGCTAAAGCTGGTCAGTGGCGACGAAGCAGACGGGTTGGCGTTACGGGCGTTTCTAAGGAGGGTAGGTAGGACGTGGTGACTGCTTAGAGGCGCGTGTGTGTGAAGGGGGGACGGTGGTGGGAGTGGAGATTCTGCAGTGTAACCACCGACCCAAAGAAGGGCCCCACACCCCAGTTTCAGTGAGGACAATGATCCGTGCCCGTCAACCCCCAGAGAGAATCCCCCCGCAGCGTGTCACTGGAAGTGCCTCCTGCCCACTCACTGTAAGATGCCGCCCAGGGTCTCCCGGGACCTCTTCTCCGTCCCCCCGGCCCCTTCAGGCTCTCGCGGAGGCTGCGTCTGCCTCCGGGGCCTCGGGCCACCCGCACGTCTCCTGACTTGGCGGTGAGTCGGTGGTGGGGGGCCTCGGGCCCGTGTGGGGCAGTGTCCGCACATGAACGACGGTCCCGGGCACCAACCCGCCCTGTCAGTCCTCTGAGTTAGTGCTGGTCACGTCAGCCAGCCCCCCGGCTTGGGCAAGTCTTTGCAGTGCGGTCCTGACACCGACTCCCCGGAGGTGAAGGGCACCGTGCCCCACCGCAGACACCAGCCGCAGCTCCGCGGCCCCCGGGCCACCTGTGGTTCTGACCGACCCCCTAGCATTTGAAGCTTCCCGCCACCCCAGCAGGATGGGTGATTCCCTAGAACAACCCACAGAACTCGGTTAAGTGCCTGATTTCGGTCTTACTATAGAGGATAAAATCCGGACCAGACGTACAAAGAGAGGCAACGGCAAGGTCTGGGAGGGTCCCAAACACAAAGCTTCCACACGTGTCCGATTCCCGACTAGGAAGCTCAGCTGAGCTTGGTGTCCATAGTTTGGCTGGGGCGTCATTATCACTGGCTCGGGCCCCTGCTCCCGCCCCTCCATTTCCAGGAGATCAGAAGGTCTGGCTGATCTCACTGGCTCGACGCCCCAGCCCTCTAACCACACGGCTGGTCTCTCCAGCAGGCGAGCCCCCTCCTGGAACTCTGCAGGCCCCCCCCCCCCCACGAGTGACGCTGTTGGCAAAACACAGGTGTGGCCTGACGGGCCCACCATGAACAGCTAAGACAGCCCCTCAGGAAATTCCAAGGGCTTAGAAGTTCCACCCCAGGGAGCTGGGGCAGAGACCAGACCAATTCTTTATGATACCACAGTCTTATTTGGAATACTTACCCAAGTCTATCTCAGTTTGTTTTCAGGTTGGGACAATTTCAACAACTGTGGTTTAGTTTGAGAACAACCCAATTCCACTAGGAAAATGGGGCACAGGGAAAGGAGAAGAGATATTTTTTCCTGGCACGTCCTTCATAGGCGTCTTCACTGGGAATTTAAGGAAGAATCAGTTACTGGAGAGCTCAACAGAAATAAAAGCTCCCTTTCTGATTTAAAACCTAATTCACAACTAAAGAGAAAACAAGCCAACATTTCAGGCTCAAGTTGATTCTTTATTGTACTAATTTAAAGTCTCCGTCTACCCTGGAAATATTAGTTTGTTTATTAACCGTGTGCCTGGGTCAGAGAGAGCTGTGTTTCTTAGGTAGCTGCACACACATAACAGCTTAATAAATTTCAAAGTGTAATGAGTACGCTTTTTAAATTAAAAATATCAAGTACACTTATGGCTCTTTGTGCCGACCTATGTGGGTCGGCAGTAATTGATGTCTCAGAGAGACCACAGACTAGCTAAGTGGGTGAAACGGGTCCACATGGCACCCCTCTCCCAGTACCACCTGAGGACGTTTATAGAGAAAGCTGTTCCCGACGGCCACGAAACAGGGTGCTGCTCCCAGATTTGTGAGACATGAAGGTTAAGCACCAGACTGGGGCTAGGATGGTGCGATTGCAGGGGCGCCTGGGCGGCTCAGTCAGTTAAGCATCCGGCTCTCAATTTTGGCTCAGGTCATGGTCTCATTGTTCGTGAGTTCGATCCCCACCTTGGGCTCTGTGCTGCCGGCATGGAGCCTGCTTGGGATTCTCTCTCCCAGTCTCTCTCTGCCCCTCCTGCACTTACTCTCTGGAAGGAAGGAAGGAAGGAAGGGAGGGAGGGAGGGAGGGAGGAAGGAAGGAAGGAAGGAAGGAAGGAAGGAAGGAAGGAAGGAAGGAAGGAAGGAAGGAAGAGAAAGAAAGGGATTGTATGGTTGCAGACTGAGGAGAAACCATACAATTGGACTTTGAAGCTTTGTCACCAGTAAGTCCCAGTAAAGACCTTTTCTATTAGTAAACCCCTTTCTGTATTTATTTGCTTCAACTGTGTTTCCATTCTACAGCCCTGCTGATGTTCTGTTTACTATTTCCATGGGGTTTTCGAATTTTCTCCACATTCCCCTGAGTTCTTTCCCCGAACCCCGTTATCTCGCAGAAGACAGAATGACGCCACAACGTCATGTGGTCAAAGAAGAGGCAGCCACTCTCTGGGGATACCTGTGGGCATTTTGGCGAATGAGCCCAAGTGACTAGGTTCCAAAATTTCCAAAGTTAAATCTTATTTCCTAGGCCCTTTCCTGTTTCTGTGGCTCTCCGCCTTCCCATTAACAGCTTCGGGTTGTGAGAACAAATTGCTGACTGAGTTTTCTCAATTAAATACTATACAAGTAAAACTTGGCACTCCCTCCCCATCTAATCCCAAAGCCATCAATCATCCCTTTAATCTCTACCAGAAGGATTAAATCAAATATCTTTGGCGAAACAACCACATTGTTAATGGAGAAGGTTTTCGGGCGGAGAGGTGCTCAGAATTTGTGTCTGGGGCATAGTTTATGTTTCCGTTTTCAAAACATTCCCCACCGGGACTGTGCGATGTGAGAACCGGGCTAACCGTCGATTCTGATGTGCACCCTTTTTTTCTTCCTGTTCCTTTGCGCCCAAGTGAACTGCCTCATTCACCTCAGAACCTCCTGGCCAGCCTGAACTCTTCCCACAGCCACGCCGTGACGCTCTCGTGGGTTCGACCCTTTGACGGAAACAGCCCAGTCCTCTATTACATCGTGGAGCTGTCTGAAAACAGTAAGTGCTGAAGCAGAGTTGTTGCCGTGGACGGATTTCTCTCCGCGCACTCAGTGTCCTTGACCTGTACTTCTGGCACAGACCCCAAACCAGTGGAAAGATGTGATGACGCTTTACAGAGTTCCAAATGAAGAACCCCACTCTGGATTTTGGGAAAGATGCAGGGTGCCGTGGGAGGCTGGGAGGGACGAGAAGGAAGAGCAGGGAGCTTCCCGTCTGGGCCTGAGCCCCACAGGGAAGCTGTGCGCACACCCGTCGGGACCGTCCCAAGGGTGAACTTGGACGCGGGGAATAGGGCCGCCCCCTGGGGCTGCTTGGGAGCCAGCAACAGCACTAGTTAGCGTTTCTGCCTGTCTCCTCTGGCTCGGACGCGGGCTAAGTATTCTCTGGGCCTTCCCCTTCTCCCTTCCCCCACGCCTTGGCCTCCGCCAGCAGGAGCTGGCTTTGCTCCCCGCCCTGCCGCCGTTCTCCCCTCCTCTCCGTGGGCCAGCGGCTCCTCCCCTGCCCCCTCCACTCTCTTCTCGGGAAGTCAGGGCATCCCTGTGATTCCAAGGGGCGTCTTTTCCTTGACATCTGGGTTCTCCAGCATCCTAATCCTCCAGAGTCACGCTCGGGGCCCCGTTCCTCCATGTCTCTGTCCAGTGGTCTCCCACACCTCCAGAGTGAATTCAACTCCTTTGAACCCTGACCGTCCTCAGTGCCTTGGTGCAGCCTTTCTAATCTCCATTCCAGCCCCGAGGCCTCCTTGGTGACGAATGCCACGAATGGCCCCGGGCCCCTTTCTCCTCACCCGACCCCACGCCCACATCCGCGCTCTGCGTTCTCGGACACAGCTCTGCAGGGCCCGGTCTCTGTCACCAGGACAGCCTCCGACTGGTGGCCCTGCCTCTAATCTTCTTCTCTTCCAAAGCATTCTTACCCAGGCAGGGACACTGATCTTAACATCTCCCCCCGCCCCCACAGGGCTTAGAAGGAAACCTTCCTCAGAGCCTGAGCACTGTCACCTACCTCCCCCTTCCCACTCTGCTCTGTGCCCAGCATGTGCCAGGCACGCTGGTTTCATGGGTGGCCCGCATGGCCCCGTTTCCCTCGTCTGGAATGCTCACGGGGGGCTGGACCGTCACCCTTCACTGTCACCTCCTTGAAGACGCTTTCCAGAGCGCTGGCTCAGTGTAAGCTTTCGCCATCCAAGCTAGCGTCGTCCCTCAGCCGTTATTCCAAACTCCTCCTGGGCCTCCCCCAGCGAGGAGCTAGCCAGACCACAAGGAGCCGGACTCCTGTGACGGTCAACATCACGGGGCCCCTGGCTTGTCTCATCGCGACATTGTCATTATAACTGGGTCCCTGTTCCAGGACAGCTGGGAATGGTTCTCTCTCAGGGTGCCCTCTGCTGAAACCTGAGTCAGCCTGGCCAAAGTCCACATGGCTCGCTGGCCCGCTCAGTTCTGCAGGCAGAGACGTCCTCCGGTCTTGGTGACCGCTTTTCCCAGGCGCTCGCCAGCTCGCGTGCTCTTGTGTAATTGCTGACTTAACTCCCCGAGCTTCTGCTAACTATCTGTTGTACTTGCCCTCCGTCCTGACGCTGTATCCTCCTTCAGATCATCACGCGCCCGTGCCCCAGCAGGCACTGGTTGATGCTCTCTTCACAGCTCAGGGGCCCGACGTGCAGAGTAAGTCACGGGCTGGAAGTCACACGGCTAGCGGTGGCTGAGGGCGGGACTCCACCCAGGCTGTCTGCCTCCGGAGGCCCTGCTCTTAGTGAGTATCAGGCACTTACAAAGAAGTCTCACGGGGCAGACGCTTCTCTCTCGCACCTCGGTGGCGAATGACAGAGGTGAAGGCTTGGTGGCCTTGGGTTCTGGTCCGTGTAGAGATTAAAGGGAGCCGCTCCGTGAACCTGCCCGTACTTGCGTTGGGCACCTCCCAAACCAGTCCATGGAGGGACGTCCCAGAAGGGGTATTTTAGTCCCAACTCCCGCGTTTCTAAATTTACACCCTTGGCGACCACGGCCTCCGTTTTGAGCACCATCTGAGGACGAGGTGCCCGATGCCCAGGCCCTGCTTCCCTTGCCGGAGGCTTCTCTGACGGCCCATGTGGTCTCTTCCTTCCCATCGGGGGTCAGGGTGTGAATGGGGACCTGTCTATACACCGCTGTCCGCTCAGAGAGGGGAGTCATTGGCAGTATTCATTAAAAACACCTGAGAAGGTAAGGTTTTCCTCAGGGTGTTCTGGTCAGGCGACCTGTGAGAAGCGTGGGGCCGGACGATGGTCTGCGTGGAGAGAGTGAGACAGGAGCAGAGACCAGGCCCGGGCGTCCTTCGTGTCTGTGTCCTAGGTCCCTGACGCTCGGTAGGCACTCAGCAGGTGAACTGACTCGGGTCTCTCCGGTAGCGCCCCCTGTGGTGGACTCAGGTGACGGTCCTAGACCCCCTCCTGAAAGTCAGGTGCTCGAGCATCCTCGATTTACTAAAATAAGACACTGCCTCAAAATGCCCACACCAGCTGTTTTCTCATCAAACTGCGGGAGCTCTCGGCTCTGCCAGTCGGGCATCTTGCTCGAATCGGGCACGGGCTTCACACGCAGTCATTCCTTCCACCCATCTGTCCATTCACGCCACACGAGGTCCTCGTCGGGCACCTGCTTCACGCGGAGCACTCCGCCGCGGGCCGGGATGCGGAGCCGAGGTGACCAGTCCCCGCTGGTTAACGGCAGGGGGAAGGCCAGGCTCGTCACCGCGTCCTGCCCCATAACGAGCTCCCACCGAGGTACGCGCCGGTGCTGGGGGAGTGCGAGGTCAATCAGAGAGCCTCCAAAGGGCACAGGCCTCGACCCTTGGGCCGGGCAGAGGACAGGGGCAGCATCAGCCCCAAAGCGTGAGGCTCAAGGCACGTTCAGAGGCAGCCAGCTTCCGCAGGGACTACTACGACAGGGGTGTTGGGCCGGAAGGTCGCGGGATCGTGCGAGAGCA